AGGAATCGAAACACGAAACGAAAAAGCACAACCGGGACCCGAACCTCTGATTCGTGTGTACTGTCTGAGATGGGCATGACCATGACCGTTCCCCCACCTGAACCATGTTGAGCTAACTTCGGTGGATGGTCTCAAACCGAACCGAACCGAACTGCCAAAATCGTTTGAATTGTTGCAAACAGGTACAACACAGGTCAGCTCTTTCACCTCCCAAAAACAACCTGCAAGAAGGTCTTTGGGGTGTTTCAGCCGCCACCTCCCAGCACACCGAAAAACCACGCTGAGAGCTCGCGGCTGATCGAGCGTTTGGTCGCCCGCGTGCTGCATCTTCTGCCGCGCCTACCGGGCGCGGTCGAACTCGGGTCGGCTGGACGTGCGCGCACCCCGGTCACCAGCGGGCAACGAGTTCAGGAACGGACCAATCACAAACCTCCGACTGAAGGAGAAACCAAATTGTGTGTGTGTGTGTTGTGTGTGGGCTGACTTCTGTCAATTCTCAAAAGAACAGACATTAGCGCGCGGATCTTAAAATGCTTGCTGATTCAAGCTCCATGAAAGCCCCTGAGCGGATCCTCGCCGTCGGTTTCTCTTGCAACATGTTTATACATCTCACAGCGCCCTACGCGTCGCGTCCATGCGGTGAAAACCCGCGTCTCGTGTCTTCAAGTCCGCTCGCTCGCCAGGCTGACCCCGCTCGCCTCCAACTCGAGCCTCAACACCTGGCGGCGCGGGGTGCGCCCGGCGGCGCGGGGAGGTGCGGCGGGGCAAACGCCGGGAGTGCGGCGGTCCTCAAAAGAGCAGTTTCATGGACGTAGGGACCAAAGGGTGGCTTCAGGAAAAAGCAGCGGAAAGTGACGTCGCTTCCCTGCTCATCAAATGGGTTTGGATGTGAGAAACATGTGTAGGCAGTAGATACAGTCAGTAGATACTAGTATGTTGCGGACGAAAGAAACAGAGAGTCCCTCACAGCCCCACCGGAACACTCGTCATCAAGCACCTGTTCAGGCTACACATGTTATGAAAACTCGTTTTGCCACGCCATGTCTAAATTTGTTTCTAGGTGCCGTCCATTCTGCACCTAGGGCGATCCTCTCCCTGACCTTTTAGATCATCAATGATGTGAGAACCGTGCATCCCCTTCCAACTCTTTGACACTTGATTGCCCGCTGCGTTATTGCAGCTCTATGACAATCTTGTGTCACTAAATTGAATGTCCTGCCCTGCCAGTGGCCAGTGTATCCAGTGTATCTGTTCATCTGCAATCTACTCACTGTTCTCACATGCCATCTCCACCATCCTTGCCCACCACCTTAAGCTCCGTTTACTGCGAACGAAGCATGCCCTGTGCAGGTCGATCCCCATGTCCTGCACTCCTCCCGCCTGGTCATGGTCCTCTCACTTCGGCCCCTTACCTTAACTATCCTTAACTATTGGCCTGCAAATTCTGCACTCAAGGAGGATCCAGGTCCCCTTCTTCCATCTTCTTCCAACCTTCCAGCCTCCATGTCTGGAAAAACACAGAGACACACACTCTTCCTCCGGCCCTTCTTGGTCCTTCCAACTCCACCACTGCCAAGCCTGCCGGACTCCTCCACTCCCCGAACATCACGCTTCCATCCAGCCTCCTGCTCCTTCCGGCGCTTCTCCAGCGCCTCCTGCAAGCCCAAGACCTCCTCCAGGTGCAGTGCTCGCAAGGACTCCAACTCCGCCTCCAGGGCCCGGATCCTGCCCGAGCGAAAGAAAGAAACGCATGGGTTGGATCCCCCCAAAAAGGGGATTTGGGTGGTGGGGTATAGTAGTTCTGGCGATCCATGGTATAGAAATCACTCCGATTTGATGCAACTGTTCATGTGAATGGTTGGTTTGGGAGGCGCCGTAGCTTGATATTTGGGATGTGGAAGTCCCCTGTACAGGGTTGCTATTCAGATCTACAGGCTCAGAGGCTCCATAGAATCCCGTGCGACCAAAAGCAACTCCACCAAGAAGGATCTACTGCAATCCTTTTGGCGATGGATTTTCAGAGTATCAGAATCAGACACCCTTGTGAAGCACAGTTACATGCTTCTTATCGCTCACAAAACCTATCCTATCAAAAAAAAAAATCAAGGAAAAGACCAAAAAAAACTGAAAAAAAGGAATATGCCACCATTTCTGCCAGAGCGATTGGTTGGAAATGAACTACTGCAAGCGCAAACACTGGTCACTTGGTACGATGGTGCGAAAGATGCACAAACACAAAAGAAAATAAGAGAAACAGATATCTGACAAACTCACCAAAATGGTTGCAATGTTAAGATATGTATCTGAGTGAGTCAGAAGAAAGCTCAGAAGAGTACGCATAAAACAAAGCGGATCACCCAGCAAAATTCCTCCCCCACATCGCCGGGGTCCCACCCCACGTGTTGCCCCCCTCTCCTCACCCCATCGGAGATGCCGTCCGGGACTTCCGCGAGCCGATGCCCACAGAGCCGACACCAGACGCTGTCGGGCGTCTGCAGCGCCAGGCAACTGGGACACCTGGGCAGCATTTGAGACGGCACAGGCCGGAAGAGGTCCAGCCTATCATCCCACCATCTCCCACCTGTGGCGGAAGCGGTCGCTGTGCCGCTTGCGGTGGCTGGAAGCGGTCGGCGTGCGCTGTGTGTGATGGAGTCACGTTTGGCCCACGGGACACACAGCCAGTGCGGCCCCGGGACACAGCGGCCCGACGTGCTGGTGACGCGCTGCCCTTTGCGATCTCTCCGAGACAAGTAGCTGTCACAAAGGAGAATGTAATCAAAGGAGATCACAAGTGGCTGTAATTAGAAATGATGATCACAATCAAGAATGTTATTACAGCAAGAGATGTCGCAGGGTCATTATCAATGTTCTTTCTTTTCCTACATTTCGATGTCCCAGATAAAATAGGACGCATGAAACTTGGCATTTCTGGCTTGGACTGGGACCCTGCACCTGCTCCAGAGCTGCTCCTCTGCTCAGCTTGAAGTTATGGAGTATCCTACCCAGTAGAACCCAGTTGACCCCTGTGTTGATGGGAAAAGGCCTGGGCCAGGTCCGCCTGCTTTGTTAGGTCCCTCCAGTTCCAGGGTACCTTTCATTCGCAAACCCCCGGCCCCCTTGCCCCCGCCTGCCAGCAGTTGCCCCCACGCTCAGCTTCCGCGCCGTCACCGGCAGAGGGCTCACGGCAGCGACGGCGCGCGTCGAGACGATGGGCTCGGCCTGGAAGGGGTCCTGGGAGCGGCGCTTTCGGAAGCCGCGAGGCGAGCGGTCTTCGCTTCGGTCTGAAGCAATGGACGGTGGTAGGTGGTGGGGGTGGGAAGACCCAGCAAAGACAGAATCCACCAGACCACCGGAGCGAAGGAATCGGAATGCGAAGGCAAGGATGGTGGTCCTTCTCTTGGTAATTTTGAAAAAATGTATGCCTGGCTCTTCGAAAGGATGTCCAGGCCAAATCTTGTGTAGCGCGAGGAAGTCCATCGCTGCACTGACCCCTCATAGTTCACTTTTCTCCGTACTGGCCGCAGTGTGCCATGAAACATGGCAGTGATCTTTGCCATGTTGGCATCACAGAATTATAGTATATATATATATATACCTCCGTCACGACTCTTGGTTCATGTCCCAAAGTGATGGTTTCTTTGGGATTTGCACCCAGAGTTCTACAGATTCTTATGGACTTGGTCCAATTGATGAATCTTTGGTTTGGTCCCGCAACCCCAACGTCCCATCTTTTCAGGGTTCCGACAGGTTCAGGCTCTTCACCTCCGGAAAATACGCGGGTTCCCGCTGCCACCGCGCCGGCAGAAGAGGAGACGCCATGGCCGCAGGGCGGGACGAGAAGTGAAGGAAGAGAAACTGGGGGGCGTCTGCGCAGCTCTGCATTGCTTGACCGGAAGAACATGAACCCAATGCAACTCCGGAAAGGCGGTGTTTTTTCCACATGCGATGCGATCCAGGCTGTGTTGATCCAAGGGTTCAGGACTCGAGCCATACATTCCAACTCATGTTCCAAGCAAAAACGACCCGACTTTTGAAGACTACTGATGCAAAGTGGACTGGAATGCGGAGAGCTCTGTTGGCCGGAATGGAGATCCTAAGTTTGCTACTACGGCCACATCCTCGGTCGTCCATACAGCCACGTGCGCTGAAACGCCACGCTCAGAGCCAGAGCCAGGCTTGGACGAGCGTAAAGCATCTGGTGGAGCGAGACAAAAGCTGACAAAAATCCATGAACTCAACTGCTGGGGAATAAGGCTTGAAAGCCTTCAAAAGTCCATGAACTGCTGTGCCTGATCCATGAACTGCGGCTACAGCCCGATTTTCGAAGGCTTCCGATGTTTCTTGGGATCCATGAAATTCCAGCATGGAATTCCATGAAAACCCGCCGTGTTGGTTTTGGGGAACGCGGAAATGCAGGAGCCCCAAACATGACATGAAAGAAACGACCTGGAGCCTGGAGTTTGTGCGCATGTGTAAGGGATCGGTGTGGGAGAGTCTGCTGCCGGAACGGACCCCAACGGCCCCCATCAACCTGAAGGGTTTGTTCCGCAGACCACGAGTCTTTGCGTCTTCCACCCCCGCAGCCGGGTCTCTAAGGCATATCAGACTATCTCTTCACGTTGCTCTTTTTCGCTCAGACTCTTCCTTGAAAAATAACAAAATAATCTTTGTAAATTTTACAATACTTATTGTTCCTATAGTTGATTGTTCTTATTGTAAAAATATGTAAAAAAATATATATAATACGTTTACATGTCAGTTCACAACCGTCTTCCTCGGTCTGCTTCTTCTCCTCCCCGTTTGCTCCTTCCCAGCGCCGGCAGAAGGAGGCTTCCCCGTTTTGTGATTTGGGTCCTTCGTGCCACTCACTCCCATCATCTCCCACATGTCACACTTGCGTTCTCACCGATCGCCCCCAACTGACCAGGTGTCCATTGGTTTCCTGACAAAAAAGGGCATCCTTGTCTCCCATCTCCGGTGTCATACACCCCGGGACAGGCCTGCGGTCGCCTCCTCCCGCGAGCCTTGGAGATGAGGTGAAGGGGTTCACCGGGGGAGCTCGGAGGCGAGTGGAGACTGGCAGAGGTTCACCAAGAACGCCCAGTCTCAGCCAATCACCTGAGTTCACCAACCAAAAAGGTAGAGATGCCTCTTCACAAGCGGAGAGCAAACATAATACATGAGTCCTGTAAGAGACGCAGGTTAAGATGGGCTGGAGACATGGATGGGAACATGTCAGACAAACAATCCCTGCACATGGAAATGTTCCATCACAGGAAAATCAACCACGGCTTTGGCGCCTACAATGAACCACTGGCGCCAGTGGCTCGAGTGCCAGCAGACGAAGGGAGCAAGACTCAAGACACCACGCATCTTCCCGACTCCAGAAACGATTCCATGCCATCACGAATGGTGTATTGGAAATCAACCAGCAACAGCACAAAAACACCGGGTCATTATCCAATTGCAATTGAGGTCCGACTGTACTCACCTGGCAGTGAATTATGAATGAGTTCTTCATAAAAGCAGACCAAGATGCTCTTGAACCTCGTCAATGAATGTTCGGCCACGTTAATTCTACTCCTGGACTCGCAAATCTTCTTATCCTACCACACACTTGCGTCAACAGGGGCTAGGATAGAAAGCTCGAACTGCCTATCACATGGAGATCGCAAGCGAGCTGGTAATGGTTGCTGGTCGTGGGACACACTCAGCATTGCTGACCGTGAATTCAGAAAACCATATACAACCATGCTCAAATGGTTGTTAAAGAACATCAACCCGTTTATTTATATATAATGGGACCGAGTCCTATACTGCTTTATTCCATCCTGCTGGGCCTCCCAGCTTGTAGGACGAGAAATCAACGGTGCCGTAGGTCGCACCCTGAACCGTCGCACCCGGGGCCGGTCGACTGGAGCCTGACGACCTGCTGATGAAAGAACTGATGCATGTCATGTGCCATGTCATGAAGCACACGTTGATGTTCCTTTGGGGCACCCGGTTTTTGGGGCTGAAAAAGAACACAACGCTTCCACCAGAGGCATGGCCTCGACCACTGCGGGATGGAAATTCCTGCGACAGTGAGGGAAGAAGGGCCATCCTGCCCGACCCGATGTACCACCTGCAACCTTTAGGTCCGCCACACACACCAACTCGCAAGTCGCTGTAATTGTCGGGCAGGCTCGCCTCACCCTCATCCGAAATCTTGGCAGCCTCCGTGTCCTTGGGCGCACTCCACCTCGCCAGAAGGCCACCGACCAAGGGTTGCAGAATGTCGATTGGAAGGTCTATTCCAATAAAAGCATGCGTGGCTCCGTTGCAAAATGTGGAATTTGTTGAGGAGACTCTGCATCAAGCATTCAGCAACAGCCAGCTCCTTGAAAAACTGCAGCTCTCAGGGGGGCTTGACTTTGTACGAGTACCCCTGCAGGCATTGCATAACCACTGATTAAACCGCCCAAATTGAAGGGACTCGAATCTGGTCTATGCATCATGACGATTGTTCTCCTCAAAGAGGGCCCCTGCAAAGGGTTCCGGGAAATGCCAACCCCTGTCATGGGTCAATGGGGGATTGCACACGTAGGGGAAAACTGCAACTACCACCAATCTTCGAATCCACTCATTAGTTGCATCCCAGAAAGTGAAATAATTAAAACACCACCGCTCTGAGCCCCATGCTCCTCGGACACAGGGACTCGCACGAAGAACCTCGCAGAACCATGCAGGTGATGCGCTGCGCCATGCGCGAGGGATGCAGAGTGGACTGCAAGGATGTTGTACATTAGGGTTTCCGTTCACAAGCAGGGTAGCTAGATGCACTGTTGAAAATGACTATATACAAAAGTAGATTGGACCAAGTGGCCAAAAAAAAAAGAAAACACATCAGGTCCGCAGGGACCCTGTGACGCCGACGAAAGTGACTGTGCGACCTGAAGACCGACAGGGTTCTCCCGGTCTGGATGAACACCCGGTCATGCCGTGATCAGATCGACCTTCGAAGAGGAGGAATGGGAAATTGATACATCCCAGGGGGGGAATTCATCCCCCTTAAAATATCCTATAGTGAAGAATTGCCTTTCGCGGCAGGGGTGTGAATTGATGAATCATTTCATTGACTCAACATGCCTCAACCTTTGCTTCGCAAGACAAACTCAAGGTCTCCCCCTGAGGGCTGGAAATGACTCCCTCGCCGCCAAGCTTCCTCGGCTGCCAACCCAAAATTGGCTCCCCAACGCGCCATTGTTGTCGTAGACATTCACAAAGGGAACCTCAAGTGGAGACTGGCCAAGCAGGTTCCCTTAAAGGATGTGGGTCTGGGAGTGGACTTCTGTCTGTCCTCGCCTGGGAACCCTGACGAATCACTCCTCAGGAGCAAAAAGACCTCCCAAACCCATTGGGTCAGTCAACACATGATGCACGTGATACGTTGCAAGTTCAAGCTCTGTGTTACTCTGCGTCTTCTTTTTTGCAGGGGGTTCTTGGCACATCTCCCCAAGGCTGTTGCGGCTTGGAGCTAGATGCGGAAGTTGATCTAAACCACCTCACTCGCTCCCTAACATCCACCGAAAATAAGAAGGATTGACCCTCACCAATCCCGGCCTTCCCTGTTTCGGTCAGCTCTCCAAGTCCTGTCCACCGCCGCCCACCGACGGGCGGCCGACCGGCGAGCTTCCGCGGGGAGCCGGGCGGCGAGCGCGGCGACCGGTCGGTGCCCGGGCCTTGTCTTGCAGCCACTTCACCATGGGATTCTGCGATGGATCCTGCGGTGTTCCACGAGCGCAGGCGGGAGCCCGCAGCGGGAGAGCACGCGCTATGGGAGCTGTGGCTTCAGAATTCGGAGACCGCAAAGGCGCCCGATTGATTCTTGCACCGAGAGAGAGATTGAGTCTCCAGAGCCTCATCCTCATCGTCAGAAGTCAGGGTCTTGATGCCAGTGTAGACCTGGGTGAAATGATGAAGCGAGATACATGAGCTAAAAAAGGAAACTCTACACTTATCAAGTGAGAAATGCTTAGAGATACTACAGTAACAACAACAATAATGATATATATATATATATGTTCGGTATATGTTTGCTCGATGTGGCTCGATCTGATCAGTCCTGGGTCGTGGGTCTCAAAACCAAGCAAACACATAGCCACACTCTGTATGTCCAATTTCCAGTGGGTGTCTGATTCATTCTTTCTGCTTTTCCCACCCTGCTTTTCGCCGCACGTTCGGCACGTTCGGCACGTTCGGCCCTATAGTATCGGTCGAGACTGTCGGGGTATGTCTTCCAAGCTCCAAGCTGCTCGATCCTGACAACAAAGCTTCAACATCCATGTCAAACATGTGAGCTAGGGTCTCCCACCTTTACCTTGGTCGAAAATTCCTTGCACTGGATGGACCCTGGATGGATGTATGTTCAATGATATGTAATCTCCACTAAACCATCCATTTGGAGGCGTTGGTCGTAGCTCCAATAAAAGTTTACCTCAAACAGCTGGCGTCCGCCCATCCTCCACAAAAAGTTCGTGGGAGGAAAAATCGGTTGCACAACTGCACCGCCCTCTTCTCTTTGGGATAGATATTCATGTGTATATACATATACACCTAATATATGTGTATATGTGTTTTAATATATTGCTCCCCAAGACTCACATCAATCGAAAAGAAGGTGCTCATCATTCAATCCCGGTCTCTCTAGGTGTCAGGCCAGGAAGGTTCCGAAGACGAAGTGCATAAAGAGCATGGCATGCATCATGTACCTCAAGGCACTTGAGAAGCACTGCCACTACAACCGTCTACTGCGCCATACTGCGCCTAGGCTGATGAGCCCCGCCATGTTTCGCTCAGGGCACCATGATGCTGCCGAGGTTGGTTCAAAGAAAAGTGCGTCTACACCCACAGCAAAGCAGGTGCCGCCTTCCGGCCAAACAAACTCCTCTGGTCTTTTCGGTGTTTGCGCAAATCCTACAAAGAGCGCTGTGGCCACCGGCCGGTCTCCTCCCGCCACCAGCAAAAAAACGACCGTTTTGGGGGTCGATCGATCGAAGACGAACGGTTGGGGGCTGCGTTTGAAGGGCCCCGTTCAGATACACCCATATTTCGTCTCATAGGTGCTCCAGGATCAGTTTTGGCGCTTTGGCCCACCTGAATCTGCTTTGCAAAAGAAAAGCTTGATCAGCTTATGGATGCTCCTCCGGTCTAGCTCCTCCCAGGTGCAAGACCCCACCATGGGCCCCCGTGCTCGCCCACGAAGATGAACAGTAGCCTGAAGATCACGGCACCGCAAATCCTCGGTGCCGGAGCAGGACTGGCAGGACTGGTCTTAGGGGCAGGACTTGTCGACGAACGTCTCAGTCGTCGAAAGTGAAACTCAGGGGGATGAGTTCATGACCCCTGCAGGCGCTCACAAAAGCAATCTCAAGAGTCTCTGTGTCTGTTCGCAAAAGAATCTTTCAAAAGTCCGGTTGTCAGGTTCCAAGGTCCAATTTCTCCTGACCCTTGTGTTTTCTTTCCAAAAACCTCTGGCTACCGCATCCCGCTGCGTTCATTGAGAGCTGTCATCCCCAAATCGCAACTTGCCGGAAATGTCTGGTTCTTTGGAGGCGAGTGGTCGGTTTCTGGAAGACATGAAACTCTCTAGTATACCCTGGGAGTTCAAAGACTATACAAAGATTGGTCTGACTATTTCTGACTGGGAGTTCAGGAAGGTCCTTGACTTCGGCCGGTCCAAATATAGTCTTTGGATGTCTGTGGACTTCTAAGGGTATATGATAGTATTTCAACATGGCGGTCCCAAACCGGGGAGGGCAAGGAAAAGAAAAACAAAAACACGTACACCAAACGCCCCGGGTCCGACTTCATCACCTGTCCCAACTCGTCTCGGACATCGATCTCGGTCGGGAGGCCCCAGGTAGAGGGGGCGATGCTTCAGGTGGTCTGGCGTGCCGTAGAGGTTGAAGATCAGATGGAAGACCTGAGAATTCATGGCCCCATGGCCATCTCTAGACCTGCTGGTATGAAGATCCCAGGTCTGCTGGTATGAACAAAGTCGTTTTGCTGTGATTTTATGAATCTGGAAGGTTCCGCGGCCAGCCTCACTGGGTTCGTCTCGACACCACATGCCACATGCCGGACGCGGAACGAGCTCGCCAACCTGTGGAGGTGCTCCGACCACCAGCTGATTCCAAGAAACCCACCAGAAGAAGCCCTGACCCTGCGTGACTCTGCGTTGGACTTGGGCGACAGGACGTTTTCACCACAGGACCCCCCCCACCGTTTTGTGCGGCTGCGTGGGCCGAGACGTTGGGCGACTGGAGGGCCGAGACGTTGGGCCTTAATGGGATCGAGTCATGGGCCCTATGCGTCCTGGTCTTCGGGATGGATCAGGCGTTTTGGAGACTTCATCCCAGCTGGGCACCCGGCAAACAAGTTGTCAAAGGACAAGAGCCACTCGAGCATGTAACCACCTCAGATTGGAGCTGCCCCAAGGTCTGTCATCCATAGTCGCTGGAGACCTGGTAGAAGGGTGGCAAAGCCAAGGGGCATGTCAAACATGTCAGTCCATGACTTCAATGAAGCAAGGCTGGATGCGGATAGGCAGAGCTCCATCAGAGCTCCCCCCCCCCCATCCGAAACGGGGCGCTCCCATGGCGGACCCGCGAGGCGAAACCCGCTTTGCACAACCTGGGAACCTCTTTGAACCACCAAGAACCACCTGGGAACCTCTTTGCACCAAACACCTGGGAACCTCTTCCATCCACCCACTCTTCCCCACCTCCGGCCCTGGGACCGGTCGGGTCCGACGAAACCGGCGCCGGGGTTCCGCGCTCATCCACATGAAGGCGCCGTTCCTTCCGTAGGTATACCACACCCAGCCTGTGCTGTGGGTCAATGGCACGCCCTGGTTACTGGTGTGTTTTTCCACCCAATCATGAACCGAATAGACATGAATAGACGACCAAGCACGGTCAACCTACCCTGGTTTGGGGGTGGTGCCAGCTCCGAAGGTCCACCTCCACGGACAGCAACGACGGGTGGGGACGGCAGCTGTTCATCGAATTCCCACCACTTCATGGCTGCAGCTGTCAACCCGGAGTGACCCAACAAGTGAGGTGTGTGAAGTTCATTCCAAACATGTCCAAACTATTCCAAACCCAAAAGCGCCTACCTGCTACCGTGTACAAGAGATCAGAGATGCTCACAAAGAGCAGGCACCCGTTCGGAAGTAAAGAATTCCACGTGTTGCATCCACTCTACGATCTTGGTGTGGAAGAGGGGCACACCTGGGTGACGATTCTTCCTCCAAACACACACACCCTGGACCCCCTGGTTTCATCCACCGGGAGCTGCGCATGGCCATCTGGCCTTTGCAGGGCCTCCCCCGGCCACCGAAAGACCCGACGAGCGCTTCTTCAGACCGGGGGTTGTTGGCCTTTAAACCCCACACCGCCCGGCCGGTGATCCAAAGCCGAAGTGATCCAACACCGCGCAGGCACCACAAAAGGCGAAGGCGGTGGAGATCCAGAAGAGGGTGTAGCGGAGGGCACCTGAGGCACTGAGTAAGGGGACAAACCACGGGGTGCAGTAAATGCGGGGCTTCTGCAGTGGGTCACATCAAAAAAGGCCCTGGTGCTTTGTGTAGATCCCCCCCTTCAGAAATGGTCAAAATGATTGCACCTGCTCGCCAAGTCGTTTCGGGATCGATTTCTTGCAGGTGTCTTGCAACTGTCAACCACCACATGTATCCATAGTTCCGTTGCACCGTCCTGTCATATTTCCGGAAAATGAATTTGTATATAATATATATGGCTGTGTATGTATATATATATATAGGTTGGAGGCCATCGCTATTAGGTTGGAGCCCATCGCTAGTGTATTATATATATATATATACCCTAGCCTTCAAAGACCATTAAAAGAACGGTGAGCTGGTGGTGTAGTGTAAAAATCCTTAGTAAAACCATGGTTCTTTGGTAAAGACCATTAAAACAATGGTTGTTTGAATCCTAGGGTATATGTATGTCTTCAAATGGAGGGACGAACTGTTCACCCGAGCTGTGGCCAAACCTCCCTGAAGATTGAACCGCGTCTGGTTGACCCCGTGAGTTCCACGAACTCGTGCACTCGGTCGACCCGTACGTGACACGCAGAACCTGCAGGGAGACCTGGCGTCAAGGTACTAAGAACCCCCTGCGTAGATCCCTGGAGATTTTAGCAAAAAGCTCTCACAAGTTCTCCATCTGCACCAACATGCAGCCGGGGTAAGCAAATATCATAGGAAGCAATGGCAAGTGAGGGTCGGGGTTCCTTTTGAGCTGTCCACCGCCTGTTATGGCCGGTAAAAGCTAAACAAGCAAAAAAGAAATATAAAATCAAAAACACACATCAGGTGGGAAACATCGTTCTTTTCGTCGTCTCTTGGTCACGTGCAGCCACACCCTCCGTTGATCCAAGTGGCGGCCAATGGTCAACTCCTCAGCGTTCTTGTTCAAGAAGAAGTTGTCGAACATCTGGGCGGAGCGCCGCGCCCCGCGCGGTTGGGGCCATAGATGGTCGTAAATATCTCGATCATAGAGTCAACGGCTCTTCAGCGTGGTTTTCCCTGTTTTCCCCATGTCTTCCAGATGACTTTTCCACAAAGGTAAAGGAACCCACCAAAACACCGGCCGATCGTCCGATCGTGTTTGTTACAGACCGTGCTCGCCGCGCTCGCCGTGCACCGAGCAGCAATGAGGGCGAGGAAGACCGCGCCGAAGGTGGCCCAACTACTCAGCTCCTCGTGGGGGACGGTGTTGGCGGAGAGGCCCCGGAGCGGACTGGGACCGCAGAGCGCGGACTTCCAGCGACTTCCAGAATGACTGGTCTCGGAAATTGACGAAAATGTCATGCTCTCATCTTTCCTTGAAGTCTTTTTGATCTACTCGGGCATTCTGTGCTTCAAGCGCTGCCTGCTAACATTGGAAATTTAAAGTACAGGACATCATAGCATTTACCACCACACGTATCAGGTCCTCAGTCGCTTCTAAGATCATCACCCAAGCCCAACTTGCTTCATCAACTCTGGTGCCTAGTTTGCTGAGTTGCCTAGATTGGATGTGTTGCATGAGGTTTGCTGGGGAGGACTATTCAGCCAGTCATTGGGTTCAAAAGAAGCCCACCCATTGACATTGGAAGGGTTTCTTTCGGCCTTACAATGCCTGTGGTGTAGGGGGCGAAGCAGTGCACAGTTGACTCAAGTCAAGCAAGCATTCCTTCTGTGGGGGGCAAGCCCTCCTCCCGAAGGCTCAAAGCCCGCGAAAGCATGATCGCCACGAACAGCATGATCGCCCATGTTCGTGTGTTTCGAGGTGCCATAGGGCAACATTTTGCCGTTCTTCTTTTTACTGTCGATGAGACCAAACATGCCAATGCTTCGCTCGGAAACAAGGGAGTGTAGCTCAAACCCGGAAGATATGGGATTGTAGCTCAAATAATTAGGAAGACCTCCCAGGCGTTAGCTCCGGAAAATTGACCAGTCTACCCGTTGGGCCAGGCGGCCAGGGGGACTCGCTATTGAAATACACACCCATATGAGGCCCATAGGGAACCTCAAACAGACCACGGCCACCACGACGACCCGCCTCGACTTCGAAGAGTTTCACTTGCCGATCACGGTCCAAGGCATATCTCCACAGGTCCTGGGGAAGGGACCGCAGCGCTGGCAGCGCTGCGACAGTTCTTCGGGAGGTGGCCGTGAGACAGTTGGGGTGGGAGGATAGAGTGGATGAGTGGGGAGGGAAGAGTTGTGACATGTTGTGACCAACCCTACCAATGTTTTTCATGGTCCTGTATCTTCATTCATTCATCTTTGGGGAGGATATTTGGGGCAACTCTTTCCGAACACGCGAGGTCCCGCCGCACTTCTTTCAACGAAGAACCCCGGCCGGTGCGGCATTTCGGTCCGCCTTGTTGGCCACAGACAGCAAGGATTCAGGAAGCATGGTGGCCTGGAAACCATCGCCACCGGGCAAGAAACTCCCAGGGTGGGATGATTCTTCGATGGAAAAACCCATGGTCCGAGGATATCCAAGGGCTCAAAGTCCATACCAAAAGCCCTCTGAGAGGCCATGGTGTCGCTGCTGTTCAGCGCTCCACCACGTTCCAACTGCATGAAGAGACAAACCACCGGCACACAACTTCGGTCCCGCCTTCCGAAGGATTGCGGAGAAGCCGAAACTTCAGTAGACGGAAAAAGACGGGGAGTGGAACGTGTCCTTTAGGCTGCCCTCTTGAGCCCGCCCCTGCGCGGAAAAAAACCTCCGAACGTGCGACACACCACCGGCGGATGCACCAATTTGCCGGCTCCGATGGCAGGTTGGCCAAGGTCTCACCACCTTCGAATGGTCCGGCATCACGGGAGTGTTCGGGGTTTTCACTTGCCAAGTTCGCAGCGTACCCAAATCTCACTCCCTCCAGTCGCTGCAACCAACACATCCGGCAACTCTACGGAAGCGCTGTGTTTGCAACACCAAATGAAACTTGTTAGCAGGTGATCAAGAATAATATGTAGCCAGCCTCCCCCGCGAAAACCAAACATGAACAGATTTGCAGGAGAATGGTGCAGTGTGCTTCCTGCGGGGGTGGTTGGGGAAGTCACTTCTTTGGCCTCCATCTGCGCAATGTCTTTTCCATCTCTTCATTCCACACACTGTGACATTCCGGCTGCCTTTTGCAGCCACAGTGCCGGCGCCCTGTGCTGTTCAAACACGCCGTGACAGTACGCAGCTCTTCCGCGAGTGAATGAGACTCTGCGCAGCTTTTCCGCGCAGATCACCCACAGCTGCCCTAAAGTACGCTGGCTCAGGGGCTCATCGTCCGCTGAGGAAGACTAAAAACCTGGCCGTGGATGAAAATCATAGAAATGGAAGGCACATGTTAGCACGATATATATATATATACATACAGATGCGTACTCACAAAACGGAAATACCTCTGAGCCAATAAAGAAACACTAATGTATCTGAACATACATACATTACATTGCATTGCATTGCATTACATTACATTACATTACATTACATTACATTACATACATATATATATATATACACTGTGTATATATATATATATACATATATATGTATATAACACCTTCAACTTGACACATTGGTTGACAAGGCAAGGAACAACCAACTCCAGACCAATCTTCACGGTGTTTGAACTTCTCACTTCTCTTGAACTCCAGATCTTCTCTGGAGGTTCAATTTGCGAGGCCCACGCTTCAGTAGCGGTAAAAATCGAGAATGGAAACCTGCTCACGAACAAGATCAACGCCCTCTGCCCTATGCCTCTGCACACCTGTTTGTTCCACCAGCACTGCAATCACCATGCTTGGAAGTGAGGGTTTGCATGTTCACCTAAAGGTGAACTGGTCCGTACATGGCCTCTTTCGCACTTGAGACCACAATGGCCAGCCAGCATTCACCATCGCACAACTAAACCATCAAAAGCATGAGTCTATTCCATGTTCCATCTGCTTCTATGAAGCGTGCTCATAAAGGTATGTGTGCACAATAACAATAACAAATTACTAGCGATGTATAATGATACATGACAATAATATAACAATAATAGATTATGTGATTCATTGTCATAACTATCTTATAGTATCTAATCTTACAATATATATATATATCAACTCATTACAACGAAAGAACAGCTCTCGAGGTCTTCAAAGTCTCGACTTCTTCGTTCCTGGTCCTAAGAGGTCAAACCAGACTGGTGAACTGTCCCACCTCACCAACCTGAGGTTCGACCGGTTCACAGCGAGCTGTACCGGGGAGTCCTGTTTGTTCACGTGTTTTGGGAGCCCCCGGTGCAAGCTGCAATCTGTGCATGATGGAGCGAACGATTTCCGGTGCACGTTTCGGAGGCATGACAGAGAGTGGCACAACATCGTCAGATTAACAGCATGATGATCGGCTGCTCCTCATGATAATCCGCTTCGAACTTTTTTATCCAGGGTGGTTTGAAAAAGGGATATATGGTTAGTAACGATGGTCAATCAACCATTCCTGACACGTCCTAAGAACCATCCCAACCGGCAGGAGCTCGTAGACTTCTTCTGCGCAGCATTTTGCATCGTACCTTCTACTGCACCTCCACCACCATCGACCAGTCCACATCCAATCACTAGATCAACGAGTTGAGGTCGGATGAGGATCTCAAATTCATGTGAGTGAAGCCCGCACCGTCCCATCAAGACCAGATGTTCACACCACGTGACCACCCCTGGCCATGTTCTCCCCTGGCCGTTCATGTCCCATGAATCTCTCCAGTTGCGACATGAATCTCTTGGGCAACAAATGATGTCTCCTCATGTTTTCAGGGGAGAGGCTTCCCTGCTTGATGCTTGAACCTTCGGCGGCCCGTTCCTCGTTCCTCCTTCCATCTTTCACCGCCAGAACCCTCGCGTTCGGCACGCCACGCGGCGGAACCGGCACCACGCGTGGAAGCCGGGCCTGAGGAACGCTGTAAAGTCCAGTGCGCCTGGTAAACCATCCTGCGCACCGAACGGGATGGCGAAAACACCAGCAGCAGGAGGGCGGTGTTTGTTTGGATGGCGAAGGCAGCACACTCCCTGGAGGCTGAGCCAGCGCTCTCATCGCGCGGCCCGAGCTCCGCTGGCCCAGCTTCCGACGCTGGAGCCGTTTCCAGATTCACGGGTCACATCGGGTCCGGGTTTTGGGGTAGCAAACTGTCACGAGAGTCTGGACTACTAGTAGTGGATCCCCAGCCCCAAAAGACTAGGATACAAACTGACCAGGTCGGACAGGACCATGGCAATTGCAGGAGAATGTAATGAATTAGAGTTCCCCCCTGGGTCAAACCGGAGAGAGACCACATTGAAATACCTGAAGCAAAAAAGATATTAGTGAGGGAAAGCCTCTGTCTTCCCATTCGCCTTCTGGGGGGAAGAAAGCATAATATGTATGGTCAGACAAAAGACTATTAAAGGTATATACACCCTATGACCCTATTCTGAACTCGTCAGACTGTTGGACTGTTCTCAACATGGTTGCTTTCTGGGAAGGCGTTTCCGAAGGCTGCAACACCCGAGGGCTTGGGCGCAGAGGAAAAAATGCCCCACCCCCTCGCGGAGACGCATGCTGTCTGCATCTTGGGTCCGCGAAACATGGAAAAATGCCACTGACATCATCGGGTCGCCTTGACAGTTTCTTTGTATTTCTTAGAGCTGGGGTTTTGTCAATGTCCCAAAGCTTTGCCAGACGCACCAACCTAAAGAACCTGCGCGCGCGTGCCAAACAACAACTGTCCCGATACATTGACTGATTCGTAGGTTTGCCGCACAAATCAGGCTCAAATAAAGAAAACTAAGCTACCCTCTGGGGTGAAAAACCATCTTTGCAAGGAACTGTTGATGAATTCCTGCGTTGAGAGGCCTACCATGGCATATTGCAGGACATCCATTAAATAGTGTGCACCAAAGAAACAAGTCTACACGCAACCTGCCCAGAAGTCATTCTGCAATAGTTATCAAGATTTGCTTTCGCATGCGCTTTTAGATTTGCTGTCAGATTGCTTTCAAGGAACGAGGCATTTCTTTGTGGAACAGAGTTGGAGAGGCCTCTGACATCATTGAGCCTCATCACAGGTGAAGCCTCAGTCATCCAAGGCGCGGAGCATGAGGCTTCATCCGGTGGCTTCTCCAGCCACATCAAGGTAGTGTCAGCGAAAGGTCGTACAACATTGCAGGTGCCTTCCTCTATGATTTGTCCAACTTGGAGTCGAGTCAAGGAGGCAACCAACCCTCCGCTTTCGGCATTTGATCATGGCCTTTTCAAGGCGCATTCGGTGAGCCAAGGGGGGTGGGAGGCAGGATGCAACGAAAGAAGTGGCGAAAATCGCCGCTCTCAAGCCGTTGGGTCAGCTGCGGGGGGGAGCCGCTTCGACTCTTAGGCGCCGAATTTCGGTAGCAAATCGAAGCCTCCGCTTCGTGAAGACAGCCGCACCACAGCAGCCTTTTCAGCAAGCGCGCGTAGCCATCGCATTGGATGCAAAGACAAATGGCGGAAGGGATCCCTTGAAAGGTAGCGAAAGCGGCGTCCACAAGCAATCAAACAAGGTTCAGGAAGCAAAGGAAACAAACAATCACACGCCCCTAAGCTTTTGGACCTAGCTTAGCTGCCTTTCGCTTCTTGGCAGAAACAAACAGGGGATCGTAGACCAGGATCCAATGTCCCTGAACCAAAGCTTGATGCAAGGAGCTCTGACATTGATGCTTTGTTAAAGCATCCGCCAGTTGAGCGTCAGAATTCACCCAACGAGTCTCCGTGTGACCTCTGTCCAAGCGTTCCATCACCGACAAAAGCTCCAAAGCACTGTACTTCTCGGAAAGTCCTAAACCGCTTGTGTTCACCAAACCCTTCTGAACCGAGTCATAGAGGGACTTGGCATCGGTAACAAGAATCCCAGGAACACGAACCAACACATCTTCAGGAGATCGAGGATCGAGGTCATGACCGAGCATTTCGCCCCACTGGAGTCTCGTGAACATAAGTTCCTCTTCAGCCTCCGAAAAGGCTTGCACCTCTGCCGCTAGGCTGGATCTTGCGATCCTTTTGAGTTTGAAGGTTTTCCAACCTACAAAGTTCACGCGTGCTTTCTTTCCTTCTCGAAGGTCTTTGGTAGTGGCACCAACAACGTAACCACCAGTACTACCCATGTCAACCCTGTTGGCTAAAGCAGCGTCACTCCAAGCAACAAATTCAACCTCGTCAGGGGAACACTCCAACACTTGGGTTTTGGGAGAAAGCATGCGATCATTGTAAATCTCTCTCACCAATTTGCTCGCTTCAGCCAATGTTTGGCCATCAGCTTTGGTGATCCTGCTCTGCAACTGACTCAACTTGGCCCCGTGCTGGGGTCCAGACTGGACCACACGCCACTGTGCCGCGCCCAAAACGGCTCGAAGTTGCTCAACTTCTTGAGGAGTGGCTGGTGCTTTCGGGTCTTTAGTGGTGATGCTAATTTGCTGTATGCCAGTGCAGAATTTTGCATGATCCAAAATGATTTCTTTGCTTGGGGTTTGATGCAATTGAACTCCACAATGGTCAAATGAATCACACTCCCAAGGACTCCAACGATATGAAGCCTTAAAACGATGCAAAAACAAGTTCCACGTTTCGTTTCCATCGTCCCCAATCATATAGAAATCATCCACATGACTTCCTACAAGGCCAACGACCGAGTTGGTGGAAGGATCTTTGATCCTCCAGCAGCAGGGTTCCGTCTTCAAAGCCTCACCTCCTAATTCAAGGATCTTGTTTCTAACCTCGAGGTACCACTGGTGAGGGGCATTGCAAAGACCATAACAGCTTTTAACCACCTGGACTGCCCTGCCTGGTTCAACTCCCATGGCCATTGCCAGCTCTGGAACTGGCACTGCGAACACACTCCGGTGTTCCTCGGTGTTCTCGCTAGTCTGCAAAAATGCGCTTTTGGCATCGCATTTCACTTGTGACCAACCGCAACAAGAAGCCATGGTCATCATGAGTTGTCTAGTGCGTCTACTCATTGTTGGACTAGTCGTACTAAGGCTTCCAAGGTCGGGGTCACTAAAACCTACGATCACTATTCGAGCCTTCGCTGCGCCAGAGGACTTGAAGGTCAAAACCCAGCGCATCCGCATGGTCTGGCTGCGAGGAGCGATCTGGTGCTCCTCAAGAGCTTTGCAGGCAGCCGCTTGGATCCATTGACCAACTTCCAAAGACTTGGCCTTCTTCATGTCTTCAACTTGTTCTGGAGTAAGATGCTCCATCTTCACTTCAACATGTTTCTTCAACTTGTTCGCTGTCCAAGTCACTGGGTCTCGCTTGAACTGCTTCATGCTCTTTTCATCTGTGGGCAGCTCCAAAGACATGGCAACAAACAAAGGAGGTTCACCTTGACCATCTTCAGGTTGAAGTGACTCGCAAGCAAATGAGGTTTCCTCAACCATCTTCGCTTCACCGTGCCGTTCTTGAGCCTTTTTGAAAAGCTCATTGCGTTTGAGCTCACCAGTCCAGCTCTTGCCAGCAGCTCCATGGCTAGTTGGAAATTCGCAGGAAGGGTCGCTGAGATAGCGGCCGGGCGAAAAATCTGAGCTAGCTAAGGATGGGGCATTAGGAGTCGCTTCAAGAGAAACCATTCTAGAGCCTCCAGGGTGTGATGTCCCTTTCACTGAACCCGATGCCGACTGTGCCTGACCAGTCCCTAGTGGCATCTCTTTGCCGCTCTTTCTTTTCGAATCTCCTAATGGTCGAACATCCGAATTTTCTTGAGGTCTTTTGCGGCTTATGGGATCTACATGCGATCTTGTTGGTTCTTCTCTTTTCATCACAGGGGTCCTACTCCTAGCTGAGCTGCCTCTCACTGGTGGCGCTGCGCTTCGAGATCGCCGGGCCGGAGTCGCAGGGCTCGGTTGCAGCAAATCATCGTAAACATCAAATTGTCCACGATCAACTTCTTGCAGCATACCTTGAATGGTCCAATCAAAGCGAGGTGGACCGTCAGCCTCAGCCAGAATCTTCTCTGTCTCGCTAGCCAGGCGCAATTGTTCAGGAGCAACACGCTTCAAGCGACCGCCAGCAGTAATCCAGACAATGTGACCAGGCCTCGCTGAGTCGCCGTCCAAGAAGCTCTCAGTAGCGACCACACGACCTGGGCCATACCAGCGAGCTATTTGTCGTCTTGTCACATCAACATCCTTGTGTGACGCCAAAGACGTGGAAGGTGCCTTATATCGCTTGTAGTAAATGAGTGCGCCAGGAGTCCAAATCTCACGCTTTTGAGCCTTGGAGTTCCAGGCTCGATTGATGGCCTCTTGAGCCATGTTCTTCTTGTACTCTTGCTCAGCCTTGAGACGAAGGACCATGGTCTTTTGCACTCTGTCTTGTGAAGCTCGTTGAGACTCATGGAAACTCGTAGCTTCTCTTCCGCTCTCATGAATCTTCTCATCGATGCCCAAGGAACGTCCCAGTGCCCATTGAGCTGGAGAAAAACCCGCAATCTTTCCAACTTCATTATGAGCTGCACACATGGTCACAATGGCCTCCCAGGGATCAACTGCGTTGCTGCGAAGGAAGCGCTCCACCGATTTCCTTAGTGTCCCAATGGCACGCTCCACAACACCGATCTGATAGTGGGCTTCAGCTGCACAAGGCTGAAGCTCGATGTCACGGGTGCCGCAGAAGTCTTCTAGCAGCCGTGAGCGAAAGGCTCCTTCGGGATCAAGTCGAAGAACCGAAGGATGTCCAAAGAATCGAATCCAGGAGTTCTGCAAGGCATCTACCACCTGTTCAGCAGTGGCATTCTCATGTTCTCCTTCGTCAAGCCGATGTAGGAGATGGGGTACCATGAAAGTAGAAGCCTCATCAACCATGATCATGGCGGTCACCGTCTTGGTGCCTACCTTGAAGTACGCATTGTCAACTTGCAAGGTGTGCCAAAGAGTGTCCGAACGATTAAAGCTCGCTCGGGCTGCAGGAACAGATCGCTTGGTCTCTGCACAGTCATCACAATGCATGTACTTGGCCGCCAAGGTGATGAGGGGATGTGCTCCTCTCGCTTTCAGGGTGGCAACCAAACTTGTGGAGGGATGACCGGCTCGGACATGAAGTCTCTTGACCAATGCTAAAACTCTCTTCCATTCGACTGGAGAGACACCATCAGGCACAACAGTCTCAATCTCAGACACCCCATAGGCTAAGAGTGCCTCTTCATCTTTTTCTTGCACAGTTTCAACGTGAGGGGGTAGGTCACGTCGTAGGATCTGCCTAGCAATGATTCTCACCATTCGAGGAGGGTAGAAGCCTGTTTTCTTGGCCGACTGGCCTCCCATAGCTTCTCCGTGTTGGTGATCATGAGGGCATACAAGGTGCAAAGCGGAAGCCATGGCACGGTCAGTCACATAGATCGTCCAGGGCTTCAGCACGGGCTCATTCTTGTCATTCACAACTCCTACTTGGCAACCATGGAGCAATGTGCGGAAGAGGTTCTGCTTCTTCTCATGGACCTCCTTGAAGAAATCCTTCAGCTCCTTTTGGTGCCAACCATCATTCGTCTTTGGCCACTCCCAACCAAAGTGTCCACCATTTTCAAAGACATGTACTCGAAGGAGTTGAAGAGCTCGACGGACTAGTTTTCTAGACTTCTTCCGGCGAGCCAGAGATTTCAGCCAGGCTTGTTCAGTCAGCTCGTTGAGATGTTGTATGGGACTATTAGCCCCACAAGGCAGGGATAGCCACATCCATCTCGGCTTTTCTCTTCTCACAAAGCTAATAGCTTGGGTCAGGCCATCAACTGAGTTCAAATTCATGTTGTGTTCGGTCACTCTGGCTGAAGATCCTCCGAGTCTTTCCACCATAGCTGCGAGTGCGCTATCAGGAGGACAGCACACTTCCAAAAGATCTAGGCTGCGCGCTTCAGGAGAAAACAGTACCACTCCAGGCATGGAGTCAAAGGAAAGGTTCACAAATTCATGCAAGCTGTCATTGATGGCCGTCGTAGTGTCATTCATCGTCTCGGCCACCAGACACTTCACGCTCTCTGGCGTGGTCAGTTCGCACCCGTCGGAGGCATCTCGGTCCAAGAGCCGTCCGACTCCTCCGCTGCTGCTTCCAGTGCCTCTGCACCTTGAGAACCAGTCCTCTTCGACTTCCTCTGAGTTGGTGTAGTGGTTCTCATGGCTTGGGGCTCGTCCTTGGTCTTGTCCTTCTTCAGGGCCTCCTTCTGCTTCTGGATGGTCTCCAAACGTCGATGGAGACTCCTCTCTGCGCCATCCAAAGCCACCTCCGCTGTACGAAGCACAGAAGGGTCCTTCTCGATCTCGTTCGCCTTCTCGATCAGCTGGTCCTTGGTGTCGGTGCTGAGAGGACCTGCACTCCTGTACTTGGCATGAGCGCCATATGCTGGGATGTACTCGAGGCGAAGCATGCAATTCTGACATGTCTTCCACATTGCACATCCGTTCTTCCCGGATGGAGAGCCACGTCCAAAGGGGGCTTCCACATGCTGGCCCTTGCACGGTCCTCCTTTGAACCGAGGATCTCTGGGATCCGGCCCTTCCTTCCTGGCGAAGTCGTAGATCTGGTCGTCGGGCAGCTTCTGGTTCTTCTGCCCTTTGGATTTCCCCTTCGCCGTCACCTTCTTCGGTGTCTCGGGTTGACTGCATGTAGTCGACGGGGTCCCGGACATGGCTATCGTGTGAAATCCCCGGGTTCGTGCCCTCGCAAACTTCAGACTCGAACCCAAAACCTGCAGACGTGGGAGATTCAGCAAGTACAAGAGGTTCGGAAGGAAGAAGTTCTTGATGTGAAGGAGGAGGAACAAAGGGTTCATCAAACTGATACTCATGTGCAAAATCGTCAATATGACCGGCTTCTGCTTGATCTAGATGATTACTATTCTCGACAACCATGGCTTGTGACGATGAAAGATGCTCCACATATACCTCATCGAATCGGGCGTCAAGCCAATCAGAGGAAAGATCTAAAAGCAAGTGACCTGTCCGCTGACATTGTTGCAGCGGAACCAATTCATCACTCACAGCACAAAAGCTGGCAGTCTTGCTGCCGAAATCGATCACCGCTGCGAGCCTCTCAAGGGTCCTCATGCCAAGGAGCAGTGGCACATAGCGATCGTCCGTGTCCAGAGCATGTACTCCAAGCCAAGTATGGGTGCCACCAATGCTCTGTGGGATCTCAACGTATGAAGTGGCTTGGAGAGTGCGTCCATTTCCAAACTTGAATGTCTTCCGGACGTCCTGGTTGACACGGATCTCCTCATAGCCAAACTTGGACTGGCGGCGATTCATAATGGCCGTCAGTGCATGCAAGGACGCAACCGTCTCGGTAGCTCCACAGTCGATCACCGCGTGGAACTGATCATCTGAGGGCTGAACAGTCCACGCTGAAATGGTTTCCTCAGCATCCATGGAGTCGTCTTGAGCCATGAAGACCGAGCTGTCAAATTCATTGGTCGTGTAGGTGTCGTTCTCCAGAGAGGCATAGAGAACGTCGACATAGTGTGCACTGCCACCACCTTTTCGTTGATGTCGCTTTGGGCATTGCTGGAATGAATGATCACGAGCTCCACAAATGAAGCATCCCGTATAGTCAGGTTCACCTGGACGTTGTCGTCCCTTGCCAGGGCTTGAGCTGCCTTGAAAGGAGGAGGCAGCCATCACGGGAGACGGTCCTCCCTTTTGCTTTCCTTTGAAAGAGCCCTTGCCCTTGGAGAACTTGCCTTTCACCATCGGGAAGAAGCCTCGGTTGTTGGTCTTGCTCTTCATCAGGTTTCTGGCCTGCACGAAAGTCCTCACCTTGTCTTCATAGGCCGCATAGACCTCATCAATCTGCTTCTGCTCTTCCGGTGAGAACTCAAACTCAGCCTCGGTGTCATTCCACCATGCCGAAGAGGTAGTCCAGGAACCATCATCCCATGAAGCACTACCCCAATAGGTCTCTTCTTCCTCAGGCGTAGGTTCATGGACCGGAGCGGGATGCTGGTAAACGTCATCGGGAAGCTTGTGGCCAACCCAGTGAACTTGTAATTCTTCATCAGGTTCACCATCCAGCAATCCCCATTCTCGATCCTGTTCAACCCAGAACGTTCTCCTTGGAGCTGAACCCTTATATCCATGCCCTTTTCCACCAACTGGTCGTCGTTCAGCTGCGAGAAGTTCTTCTTCTTGGTCACGAAGAGCACGTTCAATTGCTTCAAACTTGAGGCTGTTCCCAACTGAGGCCTGAACCGAGAGTCGGCTCTGAGTGGACAATCCAGCTCGTCGAAGCAAGATCCATCCTAACACTTCATCAGGAAGAACTTCAGCATCGTTCACTTCGAGCTCGTCCCAGGGCACATTCATGTCCTCATCGTCCTCAGCGTAGGCAGACCAGGAGTCAGAGCCATCATGCTTCTTCTTCTTGCCAAGCCACTCATTCCACTCTTCAGCAGTCCACTGATTGCCCCATTGCCACCAAGTGTTCCAGCCACCACGGTTGGAAGGAGAGCCATCGTCCACTTCATCTTCTTCTCCTTCTTCTTGCTCCTCATCTTCCGGAATGGCAGGTTCTCGACTACGGACACTCCTCGAAGGCGAGTGGTCACTGCCAGTGGATGAAGGTCGAGGTTCCGGTTCAGTGGCTGTTGAACCATGGCTCTTTTTGGAGCTTCCTTTTGAGCTCTTCTTCATGGAGGTCTCCTTAGGTTGGGCTTCTTGTCGAGCTCGGAGAAGGGCACGTTGAAGTCGTCGGTAGTGCTCTCTCACCTCATGAGCCCATTGAGCAAAAGGAGTACCGGGCTGTCGACGGAGTCGGATCAGTAGATCCTCGAGGCGGGCCCCTGCATCGGGGACCGGTGCACGGCAGAGCTTGTCACGAAGGAAGCTGAGCATGTACTTCACTCCATGGCGTCCAGAAAGGCGGTCATGGTCGATCTCGTACGAAGCCTGCCAAGCCTTGTCCGTCAAGCGACTCACAAGCTCAGGGCCAAGCAAGTAGCGTTTGCTTGGCTGCGTCTTCTCATACTGGAGTCTCACCTTTCGAACGAAATCTGGCCAGGTATTCAGATCGCCATTCCAAGACACATAGACATCCTTGGCCGTCACGGTCGTCATAGCCAAGGAGGGAGGAGGCACCCTACGTGATGAGGTAGACAGGGACACAGAGGTCGTCAAACACGAAGGTGAACCAAACCAGACCAGGAAGAACACCAGGAAGGCCGCAACCTTAAAGGAACGAAACCAAGCCACAGGGAGGTGCCAAGCAGCCGCTCGTGTAATCGAGGGAGTCAAGGCAGTGGTAGCGCGTGTGTGGGCCCTTCGACCCAGGAACCAGGAGCACAAGGCTCCGCCTACCAGTTTCGGTAGCAAATCGAAGCCTCCGCTTCGTGAAGACAGCCGCACCACAGCAGCCTTTTCAGCAAGCGCGCGTAGCCATCGCATTGGATGCAAAGACAAATGGCGGAAGGGATCCCTTGAAAGGTAGCGAAAGCGGCGTCCACAAGCAATCAAACAAGGTTCAGGAAGCAAAGGAAACAAACAATCACACCGAATCCAACGAGGAGAGATTCTTTCGCCTCAGAATGAGCGCCCGCCAGTTACAGCCTCTCCTTTTGCCTCCCAGATGCTCAGTTACACCTCTCCCACACCTCAAAGACGTGAAAAAGTCTCGAAGCACCTACAGTAGGCCTCTTAGCACCTATTCGCTCAAGCACCTGTCAAACGCCTAAGCGCCTTCGAGCTGCTAAGTCTCTATCTCCATGCATACAATGCCAAACTCATTTGAAGGCTCCAGAAACAGCATTTCAACTTGCAATGTCACCAGCAATCGATGAATCTTCCAGCTATTATATATATATATATAGCTGTCAAATTATATGATATACTTATAGTTATATTCTTCAGGGAGATCGCTCTTTGTATCGCTGGACGACATGTCCGATCCCGTCCTCCCGGCAGAAGGCCAGCTGCCTCCGCAGGTCACTCACCTCCTCCGGCGTCCGGGGCACCTGGCGGAAGGAGGGCAGCATAGACCCCAAACAGCTTCAGCATGCTTCAGCATGCGTGGGGCGTCCACTCCAACAGTCCACTGTTTGGGGAGCATCGACTGGGCTGAAAAGGGGGGTGTCACAGGTGTCACATCTTTGGTTTCTCAGAGAGGTTTTGAATGAAGTTCTGAAGGTTGACGGTTGACCCACCAAGTCTTTGATTCTGGTGAGCTCATAGGTCGTCGTTGATTTCGAGCTGCCCTTGACGTCGCCAAACTGACTTCAGAGCCTCTGACCCAGGTCACACCAGACTATGCGGGGTGAACTGTGAGTGTGCTTTGTCTTCTCCAGGTTCACACCGTCGAGTGCCTCTTGACGTTGTCCTCCACCAACGTGCCCCTTGACGGCCATGTGGAATCCACGAGTCCACGAGCTTCTAATTACTTTTAATTAGATTCTATTTACTTTTCATTCTATATATTGTTTCTACTAGCTTCTTGCTCCTAGTAGTAAGGCCAGGAGCCCCTAGTTATAGCGTTCTTGTTCCTAGTAGCGATGCCCTTTGCTACTGGTAGCTTTTTGTTACTTACCCCCCCCCAAGAACTCCAGGACTCGGAGAGAACCTCTCGCTGTTGTGTCCGAGCTCTCCGTTCCGCTACGCGTCACGCGATTGCCGGGCTCCGTTCGTAGGGCCAGGAGCGCCCGGTTCGTAGCGAACATGGCTCCGTTCGTAGACCAAAAGAGGATGCCCAAAGAACCAACACTCCGGAAAAACGCCGTTCGTTCCTCCCGATGGCCTCCAACCTACTAGCGACGGCCTCTACCCTAAGTAGCGACGGCCTCCACCCGCCAACGTCCCCGAGACATCCCACCTGCCCGCGATCGCGCAGCAACCGCATGTAATCCTCCCGCGCCAGCTCGCCCCGGCGGCCGACGTCCTCGGGGCAAGCAGAAGGATGTCTTCCTGTAGATATTGTCCCTTAAAGAATCCGCAATCAATTGAGGAGGTGAAAGGGAACCCGCAGCAATCGAGCTTCTCCACTCAAACCCGAGTCACGTAGGAGTTGAAGACGGCCCGCAGCACGCGCAGGGCCACCTTGCCGACTCATTCGGAGGCTGGGTGTGCTTTCACCAGCTTTAATGGCCTGAAGAGTCCCCTAGACTCCCCATAGGGTGCCTGATCTGTATGAACAGCAAAGGAGTTTGGTTTTATGATCGCCTGAATCACCACATCCGAACTCTCTCCATAGTCCCATGTCTTTGCCATGGCCTCAAGATCGATAGGTGTCTGAGGTGAGAATCACCCTTGGAGACCATCCACATCATCCACGATCCTATCCACCCAGAATATGCCTCCTTTCCTGTCGAAACAGGGCTCCATTCACTGGTCGGGGGTGGCTCCACCCGGAACCCACCTCGTCAGGCCCATTCTTGCTGCGCGCCGTGTTCCGACGCCAGGGTTCGCTCGCCGAGAGGTCCTGCGGTTCCAGCGCGAGGAACGAGGTCGGCTCGTGGCGTGGCGGTTCGCCATGCGGGCGTTCTTTCGGGCATGACTTGCAGTGGCCCCTAAAGCCACAGTCATTTTGCGTTTGCCGGGCGTGAATCGATCGGATCCGGACATTTTTCACCTGAAACCCAATGGGCCCAATTCCAGATGCCTTCTCTCCATCTCTCCACACCACCTCAGCTCCCCCGCCTCGGCGAAGGTGGCCTTGCGCGCCGTCTCCTCGACGAGGCCCAGGAAGGACGGGAAGTCCTCCGTCGCGATAGTCGGTCGGCAGGTCTCGGTCGGGGAGGACCTCCCCACGAGTCGCCCCGGGTGAGGTTCACCCCGAGCTTTGATGGGTTCAAACATCTTCTGGGGTGGGGCCTAGGGGAGGGGCTTAGGGGAGGGGCTGAACTGGGGCCTAGGGGAGGGGCTGTAATTGGGTTGTCATACGAACCTCTCAACAGGTCAACCAATCGGAAAAGAGATCGGTCCCAGGTCTGGCACGGTGGAAGGGCTCTTGAAACTCTGTGGGTGCGAGACAGGGACGAGCAACCCCAGAATGTCGAAAAGACCCGCAACCTCCTTGGCTTTACCCTTGTTGGGTCACTTTCGAGTTCGAGAACTGTAGAAGTAGGAGACTCAAAGTGTGTAACCATACATAGACAACACCGTGGTTGAGCGTACGATGCGTAGCATGACGTCCTTTGAATCACCGTCTCTCTGACATTCTCTTACTAGCCCCAAGAAACTCAAGACTCATTGCAACATGTTTGAATTTGTATGCAACACAAACCAATGTTCAACCGCCCACAGTACAGGGAACCAGCGATGAAGAAGCTGTAGAAAGAGAGACTCGTCTTTTGGACCACTGGCGATCCTTCACATGAGCTTCCACCGGATTCTACCTGAGCTTCCACCGGCCAGCTGTGTGGTGCACAGTGCCATCTGCCAACCCCCGATCTCTCCCAGCCCCCCATCCCAGCCCCAGTCTTGCCAGTGGATTTAAGGGAAAATGGATGAAAATGGACCGGAAACCCATGGGTTTCGGACGAAACCATGGGATTTCCCCTGTGGATTGGTCCCTTCAAACGAATCCCGTCCGAATCCTGGGCGCCCCCCACAATGCCCAGCGCCCCGCGGCCGCAGGCCAACTCGCACACGCGCGAACGCCTCGGCCACCGGTCCGACTCGGCGGACCCGTGGCGGACCCGCGGACGTCCGCGTGGACTCGATCGACCGTCCCGCGTGGCAGAATCACTCGTGGTCTGCAAGAGGGTCTTTTGAGTCTATAGCTTGCGGGCACATGGGAGACTTCATGGATTTCTAGGATTGTCCAGTCCAGTATAGTATACAATTAGGTTGGAGGGCATTGCTATTAGGTTGGAGGCCATTGCCCTGTTTTCCTTTATCACCCCTCCTCTGCCATGGCCGCGCCGCCCCGCCCATGTCCCTCGCTGGGGCCCCCGCGCGGCATAGTCCAGGTTCACCCGTTGGTCTCGCAGCAGGCGCCCAAACTCCGCCAGGCCCAAGGCCACGCCTCAAAGAGACCGACAAAGAACAAAAGAACCACCTCAGAAGAACAAACAAACCCATGAACCGCTCCCAGGGACCGCGGTTTGTTTCCTCAACGCCTTCAGATATGAACCCAATGAAATCTGAATCTTTCAACAAACCGCTTGGCTGTGTATGTCCAACGGGCAGGCCCCCGCACCTTGTTGCGCAGCCATCATGAAGTTTCAGAGGTTTCCGGTTTTTTGCCTCTTGAACCTCTATCATCCTCTATCTACTTCCTGAAATTGTGGAAGTGCAGATGCGTGCAGCCTTTCGTGTGATTCAGCTCAACAACATGCGCTGTTTCAAGATCCCCAGCGTTCCTCGAGTGCCCACCAAACGATAGATTGCATTTAGCTTTCACACTACCTCTAAGAGGTCCTTGTTTCACCCTCCAAATCCACCCCCCCAAACTCCCCCATTTCACACCGAAGTCGAACACGGCTCCGCACCTCGGACACCCCACCGCCCGCGCCCCACGCGCCCCACGCGCCGTGGTCCGTCCGACCCGTGTCCCGCCAGGTCGGTCCCTGACCTGCGATGTTCATCCCTGGCATCCAGCCCATGGCATACTCTTGGAAGGAGCCTGGCCTCAACGACTGGCACTGCCACCGGAGCATTCACGAACGCAAGGCAGGGGCCTTCAGGGATCGGAGGGGAGCAACAAGCCTACGCCGTGCTCCGGCGTGCTCACGAAGTCCAAGACTTGAGTTGATGACCCTGATCCCCACACACTGGTCCCCCCACATGTTTGTGGGTTCGGTCTAACACCATCTTCACTGTCGAAGGCATGCAAAGGTAGAGAAGGGATAATGTGGGACACGGAACACCATGGGACACCTCTAAACAAATGGATGTTCATAGACTCTAGACAGTATTCGTACTCCATGTTTGTCCATATTCCATCTACTCCATGATCACTTTCATATCGATCAATCCAAAATGACCGATGTCCCCAATGTCAATGATTTCTTTCGTGGCATGGTGTCCACACAAATGCTTTTCGAGGAAAAGAGGGCTTGTCAAGCCTGGTCTTTCCAAAAAGCACGTCACGATGTGCATATGGTTTCTGTGCGTTTCAGACAGCCGCACCAAAAAAAAACGGAACAAATATAGTATTAGTAGAGAGCCTGTTCAAAATCGATGTCGCCAGAGGTTTTGAGTGTTACCTGCTCCAAAATCCTTTGAACATGTGGGGAGGACCCATTCAACCCATCAGAATTTGTTCCAGCTACGACACTTTCTTTGTTCATCCCTTACAACAAACAAACCACTAGCCAAAACCGCTGTTGTCACGCATCTCTCACTGAAATTCAAAAGACACGATCCGTTCTGGGTGGTGCCTCTTTTTTCTGGTACCTCGTTCACAGACCGCCACACCACCGGACCGTCTTTTCCACTCCCAAGGGAGTCGTAGCGTCCGAACGCTCCGTCGGTGGGCGATGCCCGACATGCTCCGTTCGCAGCGTCCGATCGCTCCCAAGTTGCCACAAAAGCCCGTGGCCCAAGGAGATCGCCGGGCCGATGCCCTGCGGAGATCGCCGCGCGAAGGGGGGAAAGGGCGAGCGGGGGGAGCCGAGCGGAGACAGGGGTCTTAAGATGATCTCATTGAAGAAAGCACTAGTGAGCATGGTGCATGCCTGTTGTTTAGTTCTCCGCTACAGACATCAAGCAGTACAAGTGATTAACAGAATAAAACACAGGCTCCCTGGTGTTGTTGCTCCACATCATGCTTGAGGGGCGCTGGCCGACGTAAGCACTCAAACCAACCGCCCATGGGCTCGGTCCGGCTGAGGCGCTGACCAGCAAGGCTTCCATGTTGGGCATGGGCGCCAATCTGGGTGAAGCACACAGACATGTGTGTGTGTGTGTGCCCCTTGTAGTCACAGGGATCCGTTCGGATTGTGCTCTTGTTCTTTTGTGTGTGTGTGTCCTACCCTGTTTCCAAAAAGAATGTACTGGATGAAACTCTGTCCAAGTGTGTGATACAATAGGGAGACCCCCATAGACCTCTGGGAAAGTTCCAACAGACCCTACAAATCCATTGGGCCAGGGAGGTCCCCCCTAGTAGAACACCAACCCCAATTGTGACAGAAACATTTGTCTCATCTTTTCAGCCACACCGAAATACACAAAACCAATGATGAAATCCTGCCCGTCACTCGTCACAGACCTGGGCCCACCAAGCTAGTGTTTAGATCTATGATATAATATATATATATATAATATACTATATAATGTATTTTTTAATGTAATATAATATAACATAGCATAACATAATATAATATAATGTAATATATATATAGTATAATACTGTATATATAGTATAATACTGTATATATATATATATATGTATATATAATGTACAACAACGTAGAATGGAACAGTCCCAAGATGTGTCGGTGTCCACACATGTCCACACCGTCTTGAAAACTTCTTGAACTTAAGGATGACGCAGAGCTCTTTCTCTGTTTCAGTCATGGCAAAGGTTTATCACCTCCACTTACCCATCTCACAACCCGACCATCGCACTCGTTGAAGCTTCGCAACTCGCCGGCGGTGAACCTCACAGGACGCCGTTTTAGAGGGGATGACCTGCTTTCGGACTGAACCACAGACCGTCACAGCCCTCCCACAGGTCGTTGAATCATCCATGTCACGTGTCACTCACTTGGGGAAACCCGGAAACCTGGGATTTCTCACGTGCTGATGTTCATGTGCATCCATTCCTGAGACCCCTCAATTTGAATGAAACCTCCGCATCCTCCGCATCCAGCGGCTCGCGGGGTCTCAACCGTGTCCACGTCTGCAGTGGCTTGAAGGCAGCAGGCTCTCGCGCGGCCTCCGGCGTCGGCCGCCGAACTTGTCGGACCGGCGCCGAACTTGTCGGACCGGCGCCGAACCAGTCGGATCTGCGGCTCGAGACAGTGAAGAGAGAGGCCCAAGGGGCACTCCACGGATGGACCAATGGATGAACGCCATCATCAGTTGGGTCTATCCTATTCTTTGCTGACTGTTGCAGGTAGGACAGGCCCAAATCATTAGCATCAAGAGACGCCCAGCTGCGCGTCCTGAAACACCCAAAGCCACGCCACGCGCAGCCTGGCCTCGACCTGGCTCTCCGGGTCGTCCGGCCGCTCGACAGCCTCGTCCAGCCGCTCCGACATGAACCTTGGTGGGGACCCACGGTGGCCCAGACGGGAAACCAGCCGCCTTTGGGGCAAAAAAAACCACCCGTTTGGACCGAGGTTGGGGGGATGCTCGGCTGGGTTCTGATGAAATGGATTGAAAGGGATTGAAAGGGCAGGAAGCTTCCTGCAATGGGGGAACCCGAACCCTGTGCACCCTGCTTGTCCCACAAAGCTCTAGTTTAGTTACGTGCTGCGTGCTACTTACAGTACATCTACAGTACTATCAGTACTTACTCAACTCTCCTATCACAAAGCAGCAAAAACCGAGGATTCCACACAGGGAAACCGCCAACCTTTGGAGTCTTCGTTTGTTCTTCCTACAACGTAACGTAACGTTCCCGGACAGGTTGAGCATGTATCAAAACCAGCTTTGTTGAATAGAGGGTGTTCCGGCCTTCCGGCTTTGCAATTCATCGTGTTGAAAACACATCGGCAGTCGACCGTGCACCAGCAGGCAACACCCGCGCTGCTTCGGACTCAGGGTGTTCAGCAGCGGACCAGCTGTGTGTGTCCTAGGCTAACATTTTGTGGACCGAAGACAAACACACAAGGCATGGCGGCATCACGAGGAACCCTCCCAAAGAATCTAGACTCTTTTTGGGGGATAGGCTGACATGATGCAGTGGAGCTGCTGGAGCTGTCCGCCACCGGACCTCCGGGCCGCTCACCCACGAACCCGCTGGTCGTCTGACCACCGCCGAGCCACCGGCCTGACCTGGTCGACTCCATGCTGCCCACGCTGCCGCGCGAGGTGGCGCGGCTGGACAGCGCCGTGCGCGGCGTCGGCAGCTCCACGGGAACGCCCACGAGGCGCCTGCGGCCGACGGGTTTCTGGGCGCCTGCGGCATGTTGGGTAGCCTGAAATGGTCAGATCTGCTCTGAAAGTTCTGAAAGGTGTACTGAGGGTGTACCTTTCTACAAGTGATCGCGTTAGCGCCCTGCAGGAGAGACGGCATGCGCGCGCGCAGGGGAAAGACTCCCACCTTGGAATTCTCAGCCCAGGTGGTCTTCTTGAAAGCCTCAGCGAAAAGCACCAAGAAGTTTCAGACGTTTCTCGTCATTTCACGCGCGGTACGTGTGTGTGTGTGTGTGGCGTGAATTATTCACACTTCCAACATCTCCAGAAGAGCCCTCATTGCATCTTCTCCCAGTCCCTGGGTCCACAGGTGGTTTAACGGAGTTCCACGCAGCGCCGGCGGCCGCATCTTCAGAACAGATCACCGTCGGCCGGCCATATGCAAAGTTCAAAAGACCATCCCCCCATGAGTTACGTGGCTGGATGCGGCGGGCAAATTCTGCGGGCCTCCGTGGAAAATGAACGCCCGTTGGACGTTGTGTGCTTGTTGCAGTAGCAATGTTCATGACATGTTTCATTCACTCGAGTGAAGGCCCATATGTTATAATACTACGAGACTTGTGAAAATACTACGAGCCCACTCTCTGGGGCCAAAGGCCCATGGTCAACAAAAACGATTCATGCTGAGATTGGTGCGTGGACACGCAGCCCCCCCGCATCTCCTCCGTGCTCCCAGACTTCTCAGGTGTAGGTGTCGGATGAAGCTTCTCCTGTTTTCGGACTGGACCAGAAACCAGTGGCAACAAACAAGAAATGCCGAACAGCTGGACTCCAATCAGAAGCCTTAAAAACTCACGACACAATAACATTAATCCTACCGTTTAACTGGTTCTCCGGTGGCATGAACAGACAGGACAGAAGACCTCTGAGCAGGCGCAGAAGACCCTCTTCTCCTCCAGGGTCTTCCCTCTGAAATCAGAACAACCACCAGCCGGCGAGCAGGGAAAAAGTGTCCAGGCAGGAAAAAGGACTCATCCCGGCGAAGAGTGTGACTCATCCGATGATTCATCCCGGCGTTGAACCAGGGGTTCTGTTTGGGATCGTTTTCACCTGTGTCTTTTGCTTCGCCCTAGGGGAGGCAACTGCGGGTTTTTCTGCGCTGTACAAGCACAGCGAAGTCTGCCTGCTACAAGCTGATTCTCTGAAGGTCAACCCACTGTATGCCCCTGCAATATAGAATAGGTCCGTTCCTTTATATAACTGTCTGGCTTCTTTGCTTGCCAGGTCCTTTCGTCGCCCTGCTGCCCTTTTCTTGTTTCCTTCTTCTTCTCCTTATTATGCTGCATTGCATGAACGAAGTCTGCAATTTGATATTCACAAAGTCTGCGCCTGACAGGAGCGCGCATACACCAAATATGTTGCTTGACGCGAAACCCACACTTTGAGATTAACAGGGTGACACCTGCCCTGCCACAAAATTTGCACCCATCGAGGTCAATTAAGGCTGCGCCTACCACGAAATTTGCATATTGAGGTTCACAAACGTCGTGCCTGCCACGAAAGGGCACTGGGAATATGTTTGTGATCCCATTTATTTTTCTGCTTGATCCCCTTGGATCCCTTGGTATGTTTGTGTGATGCCGATATTTGATCCCTTACCCGCAATTGATGCCCTGGGCCCTCCGGAAATTATCCTAAGTGTCCACCCAAAGGTAGTAAGATCCTCCCTCCTCAGGATGTACTTGGTCACAGCATCTGGGTGCTGAACCCCAACGAATCTTCATCCCTTCTCCCCGGCCCACGGTGAGGTTTCCCCGACCCCCTGCCTCTTCCACGGAACGAACATCGCCCAGAAGCTGCTTTGGCCTCGGGGGAGAGGAGAATGAGATGGAACTTGGAGGCGTTCATTGGGAATCTCCACTTCATCTTTACTCCAAGTCTCCTGTATTTCAGATCTACAGTACCCAAACTGCATGAAATGTACACCGAGTCTCCATCTGCCTGAAATTGGCTCTCTCTTGGACGTTCACCCAGACCTCACAGCCCCCCGGCCTCAGCCGGCCCAGCAACACCGGCGCCGTGCTGCGGAAGGCGTTCGTGGCGGAACCGCCTCGGGGCGTCGGACGCAGCGGAACACCAGCGCTTTCCGCTTCGGCAGGGTGGTGAAGAGGTCCGGCAGGGTGGTGAAGCGGTCCCCCAGGTGACCCCAGGAGGGGACGCATGGAACAACGGGAAAAAAGCCAAACCCGTTTAAAACCATGGAAAGCTTCCTTTCTCTCGATGGCCCATTGGTTGCTCGCTTCGGACGTGAGCCGAACTCGCCGTGGCAAGACGCGAACCTCGCTGTCGGACGATCGAAAAAGCCGGCGAAAGACGGCGAAAGAGCGGGCGGAGCGGAAAAGGCCGGAACGTCGGAAGGTGTGCTTTTTCACAAGTTACAGTTGCTCGTCCCACGAATTGGCGTCAAGATTAGCGCCGGCTTTGCAAGGGTGTTTTGAGGCCAACAAAGAATACAGGAAGCTGACTCAGACCCAGCCCCAATCCATCATAGGCCTGGCGAGTCTTTGCCATCCTTTATGCGTCACGGTCAGTCTGTGTAGTATGACCCTGGGGCCCCAGGCTGCGCGCGGTACTGTCCATACTGCCCGCACGGGACCGCATGGCTCCAGGGGGGGTTGCTTGTTGCACCCACGCACGGAAACTCTAACACCTGATCCTGAAACCTGCTCAATCCACTCGATCCTGATCTAAATAGCTGAGCTCAGTTTGTTTCATCTGATCCAACTCAACACCTGCTCTGGTGACTGGATCCTCTTGGCAAGTGGCTAGAGTCTAGAGGACATGCAGCTTAAAGAGGTCTGCGGCTTTGTCCTGAATGATTTCAGTGGATCTGACGATGTTCTGCCATGCTCGCCCCAAAAGATCAATGTCCAGGTTGCTCCACAATGGGATATTCAAATGCACATTCTTTATGCTTGCATGAGCCGAGCCGAGCTGTCAAGAAGCACAGTGGAGGGGTTTTGTCTGCAGCATCTATCAGCAGTTCCAAAGGAATGGTTTTTAGTCCCTAAGGGTCCCTAAGTGAGTGGATATTGGGCACCCCTGCGGTTTCTGCCCTGATATGAGCGGGATCCTGATCGGAAGACGCGCCCGGTCGTAGCTGTTGGCGGTTGGAATATCAAATGTGGTACTCCCGGGCATTGAGATGTTAGCTTCTGGTCCTTTGACTGGGCATGGGACATTCAAAATCTGACGAAGGACGCGTAGACCCAGCGATGGGAAATCTGGTGTTGGTGGCACAAAGGAGTACCTGAAGACTGCTTAGAGGCATCCCCCCATGTCTTGCAGCATGCTTCGCTACGCCATGCTACACCTTTGATTTCACTACGACATGGTCTCATGATACTTCCATCACATCCAAAGGCCAGATGTCAAAACCAAACTTGACCAAAGCTAGGGCGTTTGGTGACGAAAGCTAGGGCACCAAAGAGCTCAGCTCAGCCCCGTGAAAATCCGGGACCTCCACGAGACCCTGAAAAAAAGGGACAACTATAGAAGTAGCTGGCGGTTCTCAGAAGTCCTGATAGACTTTTTCATGCTATGTCCAACAAAAGCACGTGGAGCCTTTGAACTGGTGGGAACCCTCACCCCTGCTGATTGTATGAAACACCTTAGATGCCGATGCCCCGCTTTCCGCGAGGTACTCACTTTCTTGACCATGTGAGAGCTTTTTCGTCGGGTGAGACGCTGTGCGCGCGGCCGGATGAGGTTTCCGACCCGGCCGACAACGCGTGTGGTTCACATACACGGAATGGCGCACAGAATGGAAGGGGGACTTCTGATCGAAGCACCAAACTATGTAGTGGATTGAAGCAGTTCCGTTATAGTGTGGAGCAGTTCTAATCCATTATATCACAGTAAGGGTGTTGGGCAATGACCCTTTCTTGATCAGGTGGGGACTTTGCTACTTTGATCTACTTTGGAAACCACCTAAGAAGAGTATTGTGCATAACCCTCACTAAGGTCGAGGTCGCATCCAACATCATCCAACTATCCTGCCTTACCCCCCAAGCCACAAAATGCTGAATGCTGCGCAAACCCAATTGGTGCAGAATCCCTTCATCAGATCAGCGCTGGCGCCCAATTAACGGAAAGCTTCCAGTGACCGAAGCTTGCGGGAGAGAGAGAAGTGCCTTCCCTCACTTTGCATCTGGAAAGGACCCAATAGACCATTTGTTTGACCCGTTTATCATAGCAGGTGACCCACAGGCACCTCTGCAAGTGAAAAAGCATACACATCAAATCACTTGAAGAAATTGCAGTGTCACCAGTGTCACCATCGGTCACGGACCACGGTCTTTTTCATTTTGAGGGATCCCATTTACCCATCATCCTTACATCTGAGCTACCACCTCTTGGCGCCATCCCCATCGGCGCACGCTCAACGGGTCGCGCCCATGCCCGAGCTGCCCATGGTGTCACCGCCTCCGCCAGCTCAAGCTCCGGAAGTGGTGGTGTTTCGATTCCAGGAGCTTGGCTCAAAGAATGGGTGACTTGGAATCGAAGAGCGAAGTGACTGACGAGGAGACTGGCCGACGGAATCTTCTGGGTCCAATTCAGAACGCCGGGATAGCTTCGCATCCAAGTGGGAAGGTGGTGGCAGATCCCAAGTCCAGTACTTCAAACCCCATGGTGAGAGGGCTGCAAAGACACAATCCCTGGCTAGTGGGATTCCAACGCATATTATGCCCGAGTTGACAAAGTCGAATACAAAACCAAAACAAATTGTGGATGTATGACGTATGATGATGTAACTGTAGTTGCAATGCCCCAATGAAAATTGACCACATATTGTACCCCAACCCAACCGGCATGTTCCTTCAAGTGGACCGAACCACTCACTCCAACTCCCCCCACCAACGGCTCAACCACCTCCCGCAGTGCTGCGGAGCGTGCCATCCATGTCCTCCGATCCATCGAAGCGGCGAGACGGATCACTCGTCTCAGCTTCAGCGGCTCAGCTAGTGTTCTTTGACCCGACCCTCCCTGGAATAATCATGGACGTCTGTGGAAAATCACCTGTTTGTAGAGACCAACACACAACTTGGGTGGGAGAGAATGTACATGAATCTACTAACTAACCGACCATACACCGGGTTTCTATGTCCTGTCCTTGAATATGTATCTATAGTGTAGAGACGCTTTATTTTAGAGACTGTGTTCCAAATTGTTATCATGTGCTCTAAAATGAGTCTAATCGTGTGTTCCAAAACCAGCCGCCTGCCGATGCAGTGCAGGGATCCTGGATCATCATGGGAGGTTCCTCCCATTCACCGCAAAGGTTCCGAAGTTGTGTTGCGTGTGTCTTGCCACGATGTCGCGAAGCCACTGTGCACTGCGAGTTACGTGTGCAACGTTTCCTCTTCTTTCTTCTGGAAGGGCAGTCCCGCCGGGAGGACAAAAATAGCAGGGAGAGAGAAATTGAGAATATATCTATAATCAAAATATTTACACATACAAAGGTCTGCAGACCCGGAACTTCTCTTGCACAGCTGCTGAAGCATTAGAAACGCGACCTCGTGAACTCCCGCTCAAGCTCTCTGTCTGACAGATCAACGGTTCCTTCCTGGTTTCCCAAAACGAGACGAATCCCCGAGCCCGAGCTTCATCTCCGCATTAAACGAGGCGGTTCTTCACTGCACCCTCTCTTTGAAGAATGTCACTCATCCTGGACTCATCCTTGTCTTTGTTTGTGTGTGTCATTGAATTGATCTCATCAGGACGTCTGCAGACCACCGCTTCTCTCGCTCCCCAAACCCGCAGATACAGTACCCTTTCCCTAGCTTTCCCTCCTAAAGGCCTCCGGGACGTTCCCTACCTCCGCCATCAGCACCACTCCCCCTGTCCCGACATCTTGCCGCTTCGACCCCTTGGTCGCGCTCTGACCGTAGCGCCGGCGGGGGCTCGTCGCTTCAGCGGCTGGCAGGCACCCAGGAGTTCCGGCACCAGGGGTGGGTGCCCAGAACATCTCACTCACTGGATGGGTCTTGAAAAGAACCTGCAGTTGACACTGCTGGCGCATATGATGTTCCTGCTTGAAAAACCAAGACCTCAGCACTCAGCACATTCACCCCCGCCGGCATCGCCATGAAAACCCCTCCTTCCGAACCCCCCACATCTGGCGGGTCCTCATCGCCGCGCATCGACTCTGCCTGGTGGATCCACGAAGCCACGACCAAACCAGAGAGAAGACCAATGGCGCACTACAAAAGACCAGAGAGGATCCCCGGAGTGAAGCAATACATCTCAGTGTCTACAACAAGGACCCTACCAGGAACAAAGGGCATCGCTACTAGGAGCAAGGACGCTACTAGGGGCTCAGTAGTATAGATCCTTTCATTCTTTGATACACATGCCAACCGACCCGAACTTTCAGGCTGCACCAGACGCATGGTACCTCTAAATCTCGGTCACGACATCCATAGCGGGTCAAGCTGGGCTACTGTGCCCCCAAGACCTGTTGCATCCTGTTGCTACTGGGGATTGTGTGCGGATCGGCCATGTGTTTGGGCCTAACTTTAGACGTGTCATTATATATCTATATATATATATACACCATTATACTACTACAGTGAATATATCCACCGGCAGTTTGCCTCCAGCTTGGGATGCCCACAATATCGAGATCTCCATCAACCCCAAGCATCCTCTGTCTCCGGAAATCTGTTTCACGCTGCCACAACCCCCGGACCCCATCATACCCCATCCACACACCAAACAATAGAAAAGAAAACATGCCATGTTCAGTCCGCGCGTTTCCCGCGTTTCCCGCGTCCCGCGCGGAGTCCGTGCGCACCTGCATTTGCTCTTGGGAGATGAGCGTGCGCCCTCGCTCCTTGGGAGCCCTGCGAGCAAAGGAGCGGCCGTGACGAGCTTCGTCCACGTGGACGTGCGTCGGCGGCGGATCCGGGAGCGAAGGGGGGAACAGAGCAACGCAGCGACTGAAGGTTGAAGACTATATGAAGACTAGTAGTAAGACATAGTAAGACCAGTATGAAAACTATAGACTTTAAAAAGTGAGGTTGAAGAATTTGGGTCAGCCCCTTTTTGTGCCTTCGAGACTCCAAATCGAGACTCGGAAAGCTGGAGGGACGTGTCTCTAAGATTCAGACATGTCACCGGCTGTTAAGCGTGGATCTCAGCATGATCAGACACCTTCCGGTGAGGTATTTGCCGTCCTTTTGGTTTCCAATGCCCGAAGAACAAAACCTCACCGGCTTCCTCGGGCGGAACATCACCCTCATCGGCGGAGTGTTCTCGAACGATCCTTCCCCAACGTCCAGAGGGCCAAAAAACTGTTCTCTTCTGTTCTCTTCCTCTTCTGGCGAGGAAAAGACCACTGAGATCTCGGCTTGAAGAGGAAGATGGAGATGGGGATGCATGAGACGATGCAGACCTGAATTTGAGGGAAAAGTCTTGCAGCTAGAGATGAGCCAACCTAACCCAGGCCACTCGAGAGTGGTAGAGTCTAGAGACTCTATATCAAGAGCTGATTTGGTGTTCTGGTCCACTGGTGTTTTGGTCCAGCTGAAGGTAAAAACTTAAGACTAGGGGAGGCTATTCTTGCATGTCTCAGGTGACGGTGACAGCCATATTGGGTCCAGGATCGTTGTCCCAAAAATGGGCCCCAGCCCAGCGGACCAAACAATTGCTTCGCTC